ACCAGACAGGCCCTGGTTTCGTGAATAGGCTCACTTCCAAACTGAGAGGCATTTATTTAAAATTTAAATTTAGATCACTTTCAAAGAAATGGGATCAGAACCATTTGCCATAAGTAGAAAGACTCCATAAATACAAAGCATCATGAAACCACAACAGCTTTCTTCAATTCTAGGTAGGCACTTTCGCCTGCCAAGTTATCCGAGCCCACAGACCTGTGAACAGCAGGAGAGGACCTGAAGGCTCACTCGTAAGCACCAAGCTGATGCTGCTCCTGCAGACAGGACCCTGAGCAGGAACAGGCAGTGTGCTCGCCTGCCCCTGGCGCCCAGTGCCATTGGCTGTGTCCCAAATTTGAAGAACACATCCCATCTTGTCCTGTACTACACAAGGCTCAGCTCCATTCTTTGTTTTCGTTATCACTGGTTGGTTGGGTGTTTTCTTTGTTCATTTTTGGTTTTTGAGACAGGGTCTTGCTGTGAGGCCCAGGCTGGCCTCAGACTCATGGCAATCCTCTTGCTTCAGCCTCCCTAGTATTGGGATTACAGGTGTGTGCCATGACGCTGGCTCCATCTTTAAGTTGCACCTGAGGCAAAGCAATGAGTCACTCATGAAACAAGGTCCATGACATCCCCTGGGCCCACTTCCAGGAAAGGGTCAGCATGGCAGTGCCTCAGGGTAGGTGGAGACAGGTCATGGTGGCTCAGCAAAGTAGAAAAACCTCAGACAAAGACACAAGGCTGTTCCCCACTGTGCAGAAAGGTGCATGCCTATAATCCCAGCACTCTGGGCAGTTTAGCAAGATCTTCTCTCAAAACAAAAATGAAAAAAGGCTATGATGTAACTCAATGCAAAGGCCCTGGGTTCAGTCCCCAGTACTGGGGGGGAAAAGTTAACAGTGGCAGGCTGCAGAGAAAGGTAAGCTAACTTCCCACCATGTACACAGCAGAACAGATGAACTGTGTCTGCTCACCTTATACCTGAACCTCCCTACTGTAGAGAGTAACGACTGGATATGGCTACGAGACTAAGCAAAGCTGCACACAGCTGTGTGGCTTCAAGGAAGCAACTTTATGTAAACAGGTGTGTGTGTGTTGCTGGGCTTGGGCTCAGGACCCTGTGCATGCTACATGCATACACTCTACCAGAGCTACACCCTTTCCTACATAAATACATCT